GTGTGTTAGATGTTTTTGTTTTGTACTTTTTTCCAACTATGCAAGAAATTCTTAGTTATCATACCAAGTGAAGACTAGCAAGAGTGTAATACAATATCATATTTGAGGGAATAACGTTATTTATCGTCATGATGATGGAATATCGATAATGTGTCGACACATTATCTATCACATTTCTCTCTCTCCTCTCCCTTTCTCTTATAAAAATTTATCTGTCAAATCTCAGTATCCACATACAGTAAACTATCACATTACCGATATTACATCATCACAATAATAAATAGCATTATTCTATTTGAGAAATTCTCTTGTAAATTCTTTTCATCAAGTCATTGCTAACTATCAGTTTGGTGCATGTCAAAATCGAACAAAACACCAATTCATTTATTAGAGGTAACAATACATTTATGATTTAGCCCCCGTTTGACACACATTCTTTCAAAATACATTATTTCATAACTCATTTTCAATTACACATTTTTCAATAAAATAATATTTTCTATCACATCAATAATTAATCTTTACTTTTTAATCACATATTTCATATCATATCACTATTTAAAATACATTCTTTTCTCAATAATATTTATCAAACATACCCTTAACAACCTAATTTTTTGGAATACTATGACATCGTGAATATTTATTAAGGTTTAAATGGCATTCATGATAGAATCTAGTCATAAATGTAAATATGGTTTGAAGGTTTAAAACCTATGTAATTAACAATTAATTAATTAATATTTAACCAGTTTATTTGTATTGGTTCTAACTATTTTATGAACTATCAAACTATTGATTAATCGACCTCGGTTTAAAATTAGTTAATTATGCAGATCATGTATACTATAATAATTCACCCACATGTCCTAACTAGTTAGTGACCTACATAATTTCATGTTTTCTTGATACAAAAGTAATATGTTGATGGCAACAAATTAACATGTAATATAACATTGTAAAAAAGTTAAATCACAGCAACAATCTCTAATATTTTCGATTTTTGCAAATTTTACCTTAACCTTCAATTTCTACCAATAAAAGTGCCTAACCTTTAATAAATATACCGTTATTTGAACTGAAAAATGTAAAAATTGAATATTTTGATCATCTTAAGTAAGGGTATTTTAGTCAATCTCATATAAAAAAAACTAGAGGGAGGGAGGGAGAAGAAAAGAAAAACCATCTTCTTCTTCCCCCTCTCACTCACCCCACCCCTACACCCTTACCCATCCCCAAAACGAACCTCCACCATTTTCCACGTCATCATCTTCATCCTACATAACCCTCTGATGATCATCACCCATATAAGCGTTGGGAAAAAAAATGAAGTGAATAGCTGACTTTGACATAAATTTTGAGTGGGACCTGTTTGCTTATTTTGAAAGATCAACATTGATTTGTGTTCTCTTCCGCGAGAACATCGAAATCATGTATTTACTTGCCAAAAATGAAGATCGGGTGAATGAGAAATTGAAGTTCAAAGTGGACCATTGGAATATGGTTTATGTTGGAGGGAAAACTAAATTTGAGTTTATACATATGAAGTTTATGAAAACAAGAACCACTTTACATATGGCTACACTTTGAAAGTGTGTAATCATATGTAGTATAGATGCTCTCTCCACATGCTATAGCATATGGGTGCAAATCACAGACCGAAATAAGCGTCGAACCTTGAACTTGTGTGCGGGCGATACCTGCGTACACGAATGTCAGACCGAATTGACCAAATATTGGCTCCTTAAGAGGGCATACGTTTTGCCAATTTTTTTGCTTTCAACAACTGACTTTTGGTTTCTAAAACTCCAATTATTATTGTGATTAACGTTTGAAACTGTTTAAACTCCAATAGTTATTGTCATTGAGTTAATGAACAGATTTAACTCGTCATTACTGGGTTTAAGTATGAAGCCTCATTTTTCCACTGTTCCAGACATGAAAAATACACTTTTGCATTACAGTTCCAAAACACATGAAAAATATTTGTTTGCGTGCAAAATTGACCTCTGTCTGTCAAGATCTTGGTGGTAATATTGTTCATATATTAAGTCAGTTCGCCGGAATAGAATCTACAGTACTCGGACTCTACTGGTTTACAGTTGTATCCTGAAAAACAGACGCTCAAATTAAATCTCAAGCACTTACGGTGAGGGGGCGAATCTGTTTTAAGGAAATCGTGCTTACACAAGCCTTGATTTTTAAAGTTCAATTGAATTTTTATTCTCTACTATTTAGATTATTGGTTCTATTTTATCGTGATTTATATAGCTTATTTTGTTTGTTGTGATTAACAAATTATTTAATATGTTATATTTTAGTTATTATTCAGTAAGTTATTGTCTACACGGTAAATTACATATCCGGTTTGTTAGTTGGCATATACGGTATGTTAGTTGCATATTCAGTACGTTGGTTGCATATCCGGTATATGTTGAAAATCCAATATTTATTAAACCGGTATTCGTTCACGAATATTTTCTCTAACAATAAGTGCACATATAAAATGATTCATACATTATAGTTGTACCCAATGATTGTTCTTCTTCATCTGTCATCAACTCGTTCACTTCTGGGTTCTTCAAAATTTTCAAATTCTCCTGAGAACAAGCTCTATTCCATACACTGCAATCTGTATTCAAATTTGGGATCAAGGATTTATTTCTCTAAGAAGAATTGGATTCGAAACAGGGCTTGTTTAAATTAGAGAGCATTGAATCAAAATAGGAGAAATCGTGATTGGGTTTTGCTGTGATTGAAAATGGGCTGATGATCATGTAAAAAAGAATGCCAAAAAAAAAAAAATAGAAAAACAAAGAAAATTAGACTAAAAATTGGCAGCCACGTGAAATTTTCGATTCTTCTCGTCCTACTTATTCTTGAATAAGCGACGGCACTTGCATTCTTGGGGGAGTAGACTATTGGGGCTTGCATTCGCTTTCATTGGTGGTGGTAGAAGAGGAGAGAGAGAGGTGGACCGACAAAGCTTTGGGCGGAGTAGATGGTAGTTTCGAGGGTGTGAAAAAGAGAAGATGCTCGGTATGAATGAGGCGGTAGAGATGGCAACGGGTCGGGTTTGGGTCCTGCCCTTTTTTTAAAAAAATTCAGTTAAAATATAAATTCAAAATNGGATTACTTCCATCCATTTAGAAATCAGTTGCATATTTCTGAAAGGTTAGTGGCGTTCGTTGGCATAAAATAAAGATTATGATAAAGTCTACAAAAATTGAAAAAGTTATAGACCGTTGATGCAATTTTCCGTTGTAAAAATGGTACACTATAAAAGAATGATACAATTGTCCCAAGTTTTAAGTATTAAATGAACTGTTCTACGAGAAAACCTCTTTTGTTTTCGTATCAAAATGCAACTTCTATCAATTAAACGAGAACCTTCATTAATTGTCCAAGAAATTTTCGTGCCATTTTTTCGCTAATTTTTCTAGAACAAATTTCATATGTTAAAAAAGCACAACTTTACAGTGACGTTTTTTATGCTTCTTACACAAGATCATTGTCCTTCCATTTAAAACCATAGTTGCACAAAAATTTGAATGAAATATATTAGTATTTCAAGGAAAAATACGAGTGTTCATGTCAAAAGTTATACATACAAAATCTACCCCTAACTAATATGGTAAGTTCGTGACACAAATGGAATCTAACAAATGCACAAACCATTTGACTTAGTGCGAACTCACCGAATTAACACACGAAATTTCAGTACCAAAAAAATCAAATTTATTTATTTCATAAATTCAAAAATAATAATAATAAATTGGGTTCCAAACATATTTACGTGAACAACTGCATGTGCATAAATTTAAAAAATTTTAAGTTTATGAGTTCATGTACAAGTACGGATTGATCGACATAAATCGATCCTTAATTATATATCTTGAATATGTGTCAAAACAATTTAATTGCAAATATCAACGTAGTCTAATTTTATGGAACTCGTTGTCTCTCTCATAATAGCATGGATAAATGGATAGATAATCTGTCTTCTTAAAGAACAGTCGTACTATATGTATATAATGATTTAAATGAACATGATGTGATGAAATATGATTGGATCAAAATTTCTTTAACCAAATTAAAAAAGAGATCATTTCTCACTCTATTATCTATATGTAAACTATTATGTAACTTTATTATATAAAAGTAACATTATTTATTAATGGTTTGTTGATTGCTATATATGTTTGATCCCCATTACTTTATTTTAATTTATTTATCATACTCGTTTTCAACTACACATTCACATAATAAAATATTCTACGTATAAACTTAAATTTTTTTCTTACTTTTTAACCATACATTCTTCAAAACATATTATTCAAAACTACGTTTTTAAAAATTTTTTACCACCAAATAAAAGAATAGACATTGTGAAGAGCACTGAGCCGCTAGAAGAATAAAATAAGCTCTTGTTTGGTACCGATTCAAATTTATATTTTAATTTAAATCAAAATCAACAATCAATTTTAATTATTTATTTCATGTGTATCACAACTTTTCAACCACACATTTCATCAATTTTATCAAAATCTACTAAAAATTTGATTTTATTTCCCACCAAATAGGGGTTAAATTAAACCAAGTAATTTTCAACAATAGAGGAGCTCAATATGATTCGGTTGAACTGAAGGAAACTGGAGGCGTTGATTCTGCAATAACAGTAGAGAAGCCAAGGCCCTAACCACGTGAATCCAAAATCATCAGATCACCCAAAAATTCGTTACAGTTCTACATAAGTTTACCAAAACACCCTCGAGAAATCCAAAACTACCCAAATTCTTTCCCGCCCACGAGGCTCATAAATGTAAATTCACTATTACCCTTAGAATTCAAGCGCCAAAGCAAAACCCCCAATACACAAATCGTTTTTCTTGCTTCACTCTCAAGAATTGAAACCAATTTGAAAGAGAGAAGAAAAAAAGCGATTCAGATAGTGTTCTTCAATGGCTTCAACTATAATTGAAGCCTGTAATAAGAGAAAAATGAGAAATTATTCAAAACTCTTTGAATTTGAAAAAGTTTCTAGCCTGTGTGGATCATTCAGAGAAAACATTCGATGTTTTCTACAAGATGCTGCGGAACATGAAGATTATACGGTTAATGGGATGCCTGTATGGTGCATTCTGATTGTTTCTCAGCACATTGGTGTTTTCCCACTCTATACTATCGAAGAAACCGTTGAACACTCTGTGAATCCCTTTTGCGATCACTGTAAATTATCAGGTTGTATAGTTTATTCGAATGATTTTATGATTTTGAATTTCAGTTTCTTTTGATGTTATTGATTTTTATTTTTATTTTCTGAGAGAATTCGGTTGTTATGGCTATAGGTTGGGGACACCATTATGTGTCGAAGAGGAGGTATCATGTCGTAATTCCAGCAAATGAGAATTGGAATAAGCCAGTTAAGGGGAATTTCTCTGAGCTTCAGGGTCATAATTTATACGGTTTGATTCATTGCAATGGGTATGGGCATCTTATATGCATCAATGGGTATAATGAGAATTCGATCTTCCAGAATGGGAGTGATTTTATGGACTTATGGGATCGTCTTTGCACAACTCTTAAAGCCAGGTAAAATATTGAACAATGTTCTAGAAAATTATGTTTTAGTTGATGAATTTGAAATTATGAATCTGAATGTCAAGAAAATTTCCAGGGAAATTTCTGTCTGCGACGTTTTGAAGAAGGGAAAAATGGAGCTGAGATTGATTCATGGTGTGGCATATGGGAGATCATGGTTTGGAAATTGGGGCTACAAATTTAGTGGTGGGAGTTTAGGGGTTACAGAACAGAAGTATGATACAGCAATTCAGATACTGGGTTCATTAGGCCTCAATAAAATCATTAATGATTTCAAGAATGATGGAAAAGGAATGGAAATCAAACAAATAATTGACAAGTACAGAGAATTGAGCGAAAAGCCATTGATTACTATCAGTGATTTGTTACAATACATTTTTGCTAATCCTTGTGGATATGAGTCCAAAACAGAGGGTAGTCCGATCAGTTTCAGAACATTTGTGAATTTGTTGGCAAAAGGTGATTGCAGATGGGCTTCTAGGAGACTTGAGCATGTGCTAGTTGTAATTATAAAGCTCTTGAATGAGCATAAAGCTAATAATCTTAATAGAAAATATGGTATGTCAAGGCATGAGCTAAGGGAAGAGGCAAGAAAATCTATTGGGGACACAGGTTTAATTGATTTTGTGCTCAAATCTATCAAATTGTTTGCAGTGAATAATCAAATTATTCAACGAACAATAAATCCACTGACTCGATTAGTGGAATTTACTATCTATGATGTTGTTAAAGAAGGAGAAGGATTGAAGTGGAGAATGGATTCTGGTTGCAGATATTCAAGAAATAAACTGGAACAAGCAGCAAAAGTGGTGGTGAATATTTTGAAGGAAAATAGAGGTATAGATTCTATGGCGCGGCAAGAATTACGAGACAGGGCTAGGGAATGCATCCGTGACACTGGATTGATTGATTATGTGCTGAAATCATTAGACAATGCTATTCTTGGGAATCAAATTGTTTACCGGTCAAAAAATCCAACTACGAATAGGATCGAATACTCTCTTGAAAGTGTTACTAACCAAGGCAACATGGAAAAATCTGAAATAATATCGCCTACCCTGGATAACGAAGTGGGCTTGTATTTAAATGAGGATATGCTATTTCTGTATAAGAATGTGCTGTTGGGCTATACTGAATCGAACTTAGTTGGTTTGGCAACTCAGCTTGTGTTGGACAGCAAGCAATTTGTGAAAGTGTGGGAAATTGAAGAACAAGTTATCAACCAGTTAATGACATTGGCCTGCAAGGTTTTGCCTAGTTTTCACGAGTTGGAGACCGAGCTGACTAGGCCATTGTCGCCTGGGGTGACAGTAATGATCCCACCTGGGATTACCATTGGTGACCTTAAGGTGGTGGCACAACGTGCTCTGAGGGATACTTATTGCATTATGGATGACTTTGTGGTAAAGCAAATCGGTGGGTTGAGAGGAATAGATGACGAGAAGGTTCTGTCTTGCACCCTGGAGCCGGGTGCTCACATTTGGGTGAGAGGGTATGGGATTGATTTGGCTACAGAACTAAGGTATGAAGATGGCACCTACAAGTCCACACTGGATGGTTTGTTACATTGAAGACGATGATGTTAAGGTATTAAAATATGTGAATCAACAGGAAAAGTGAAAAAAGTATAGTAATTTTACAATACTAATGAAGATATTGTTAGTTATTCAGACATAGTAACTTTGTAGCAGTGCTGACAATTACACAGTTTAGGAATTGTGTATTGAAAGTGGAATAGATGTGCAAGATTGCGAGTTATACAACTGATTTGAGCATGAAATACAGCAAATGCCGCAACTCGCAAGTACATTTCCGAATGGAATTTCATAAAAAGCCACCTGTTACGATGTTCCTATGGAATTTTAGTTGATAACAGGAATAAAAATTATAGATTTTACACTGAAAAAGATTAGGGGGAGACTTTAAGCTCATTGATTTTGCGGGAACGTCGTCTGAATAACTAGTTCAAGCAGACGCAATAGATATATGGGCTCAAATTTCTGAATCAGAAAGCCCCCAGCCTAATTAATATTCTGGACTGCCAATAAAACTAAAGAAAATCTGGTGAAGTGAGCCAAGGAATGGAATGACTAAAGATCCAAGTCAATTTAAACCAAAAAGAACATCAATTATATATCGAGAGAAGTGCAACGTTTGGCAGTTGTTGTGATTTGGCAAAGAGCTTCTTGTACTTGAGTCGAGAACGAAGAAGATAGGAGTATGTAAAAGTGTTTTGAGCGATAGTCTCATTTTATTGAATCGACATATTAACTAAGTGGCAGGCCTTGAAGAACTATTTATGGTTGCAATCATGGATACACGCTGGGCAATTCTCGCTGAACAAGTTGCAACTTTAAGTGGAGAATAGTATAAAAAAGTGATTCAACATAAAAGATAAGGAAAATTGCAGTAGCAGTCTCTAAACTTTTCAATCTTTGTATATTTTACCATAACCTTCAACTTATGCCGACGAAGGTTAGGGACCTTCAATTTGACCGTTAGTTGACCAATAGTCAAAAGATTGATCAAATTTTAAAAAGTTAAAATAGTAAAATTATATTTAAATAAAATAAAAAATTTAAAAACCAAAACCCTGTCATCTTCCCCACCCACACCCTTACCCTTACGCACCCCCATCCCAAAACCAAACACAGAAACTGCTCCACCATTGACACATCATCCCCGTCGCCAACACCACTGCCCAAATCGTCAAGCCCACACATCACCAGAAAGCCATCATTCCCCTTTACACATTCCATCCAACCATGATCCCAAACTCCACCAGATGTGTCGGAATAACCACCCAAAACCACCAACTTGTGCACTCAAAAACTACAGACAACTCCTCCTCCGATCACACCCACCGTCGTGAACTATCAAAGTTGACTCCCACAATCTAGACGTCCAATCTGATGATGGTATTTCAACAAATTTGAGACAAACAATCAATGCACTTTTTATATCTCTCATTTTATTCTTCACTTTAGACTACCATTTTTATTTTTTTTTAAATTGATGTCTCTTTTCATGAGTTTCTATAGTGTTGGTGTCTGGTGGTGAGATAGGGTTTAGTCGATGTAATAGGTGCCAAGATGGTGGTTAGTCGATGACGATTTTTTGGTGATTTTGGTGTGTGGATTCTATGGTGGTTGTGCTTAGGTTTAGGAGTGGTATTTGATGGTGGATGTGGTGATCGAGGGGAGGGGAGGTTGTGCTAGCGACGGAGAGGTTGTGCCAACAGTGGTGCCGACTGGTGGGTGGGGGGCGATGCTAACGATTTTTTTTTCTTTTTTAGTTTAGTTTAGTTTATTTTGTTTTGTTTTATTTTGGTTTTTAAATTATTTTATTTTATTTATATATAAAATAACAAGGTTACCATTTTACCCATTCTAATTTAGTAAACAATTAGTCCAAATCCACTTTTGTTAGTCAAGTAACGGTCAAATGGATGGTTTTAACTCAACTGCATATTTTTAAAAAGTTAGGGATCTTCGCTGCACAAATTAAAAATTAGAGTAAAGTCTACAAAAATTAAAATGGTTAAGGACCATTGCTACAATTTTCCATACAAGATGGTGAATTTCTTGTAGTCCATTAACAAGGAAACTACTACATGAATTGATCTATAGAATTTCTCAATCTTGTATTCTAATCTGACCAACAAATGTATATATTATATCAGATTACAATGATCTTGACCTATTACAAACTTTTGTTTTCCTTTTTAATTATCAAATGGAAAATTTTTATTGGAGGTCACCTAACTTTAAAAAGTCCTCATCAAGTCATCAAACTTCAGTTTTATTTCAGATCCAATCATTTCTTAGATGCTTCGAAGTAATTGACGAGACTTGCCTATTTGGAGGTATAAAAGCATATAACAATAATAATAATTCTACATCATAGAAAATTCACATCATATTATTGGTCCATATGTAATTTACGAACTTGTCTTCACTTAACTGACTTCGTCGTGCTAGGTTCAGGGTTTGGGATTAGTGATCCAAACTCTTATGATCGTGGGCCTTGCCAAGAATAGCCCAAAATCTGAAATTAACCTTTACAATGGTAAAATCTTTCGGACGACTTCAAAAGTCAAAATAATTATAATTGGTTTGAAATAATGCAACCTGTGTCTTCATTGAAATCATTCACACGATATATTAGAATAATTTTTTTTATGATTTTAGACTCTCTCGACGACTAAATTACCAGAAACATACTACTTTTCCAGCAATCTCCCATTTAACATCATATTCAAGCTGGTAAATTCTAGGGATTCCGATGCGCGGTTTTAATGACACAAATTACATTTGATTATAATTCAGTTCCTTCTACCTTTATTTCGCTTGGATGCAACTACAGTCCATCCATCTTCTACTTCAGCCACTTCCTGGGGTCTAGGTTCATCAATCATCATGTCCTCTTTATTCAAACTTGAATCGGGAGCATCAACTGTCATTTCTGTTGAATTATCACCATCATGATCGTTGTCGTCATCGCTATCATCTTCATCATCACTACGAGCCTGACAAAATAGAATAGAAACTTCAGTTGTCTAAATCAGTTGGCATGTATAGAGTGAATTGTTCAACTACCAATTACTGGCCATCAAATTACATGAAATTTACAGGAAGTAATTGGAAAACATTGCAACTGTTACCATTACACATTAACCATCTATAAACCGTGGAACATTTTTCCTTAATCCACGTTAAAAAATAGCTGAGGTCTTTGGTAAGAAATCATCATGGAACTTCCTCAAATCCATCATGATAAATTTTCCTTTATGAAGTACCAGCCAAAAGCTTTTATACAATAATCAGAAAAGCAGGTTACAGATGCAAGTGCAACCACAGATTAGTTCTGTCTCAATTTGCAAGTCCAAATAACATTTTTATCTTCTTATAACATTAGCGAAGTACAATTTTAAGACTCCAATCCTAGAATCATTCATGAGTTTTGACTCCATATGATTACCAGTCACTGAGACCAGATTACAAAAAGGGAATCCATTTCGAAATTAATTAATTATATATATAAGACCAGAATGACTAAATATGGATCAAACTTAAACGATCAATAATTACATCACAATTCAAAAACATGATCATTCATATATATATTGTTCCTTGTTAAAAAACATTCCAGCCCCAGGGTTGTCATTTAATAATACAACAAGCTCGGTTCATGAACACCAATAATATTGATCCAAATAATAAAAATTGTTCAGCCACTAGAGAGTGATATTACCTGTCTGACATAAGAAACACTTGGAGTATTTGTTTCCTTCAGGATTTTTATTGTGTTAAAGTTACCTTCAGCACATTCTTCATGCATAACCATCAACTTTTCTGCTATCTGAATACAGTTTCCACAGGAACAAAAAGAAAAGAGATAAGAATTAGAAGATAATCGGAATAGTGTCAATAAAAAAATTGACTTCAAATGCATAAGCATAGTTCAACATATTCATTCATCATTAAAAATTGATAAGCATGCCAATATTTCAAATGCTCTAGAGGAGTAGATGACAATTATATTTGGTTAACCCAACTTGACAATTAAATGTTGAGGCATCAAACATTTAAAGGTTCGACTATGTCGACAGTTAGATCGAGGTAACATGTATCAGCATATTCGGCTTAGCTTTAAGCACCTCTTGTTGACAGCACAATTGAAATTTAAGAAGCCCCAAAACATCATAATCACAGGCATCTCTCTATGTGCATCTAGCTGTCTCCAAATAGGTCCAGGATTCACTGGTCAGGCAAAATAAACTGGCCGAGTCAAGGTTTCACAACAAATATTACCGATCAAAATATTTAATCTCATCATAAATTCACACTATTGACTTTTATAGGTGGAATAAACTGCTTTTTTTCATTTTGCATTCTATATAGTAATTTTCAGCTGTTAGTTTTTCCTTGCATTCGATCCAAATTTCATGGCTTTCAGTAAGCGTATGTAAGCAGCATGTATTTAAGCATGCAACTTGTATTCATGTTCTTGTATCTATAACTGAAGACCACAAATAACACCAAGAACGTACCTCCTCAATGCTCCCATCATCTATCTCAGTGTTAAGAGAGAGCATGAATTCTTCCAGCATATCCTCTAAATCTTCAATGTATACTTTCTCTGAACACCAAATTAGACAAACTGATATCATGATGGTTGCAACAGGTAAACCATATTGTACAATGTTATACCTAAAAAAATTAATGCAAACACATCTCTATCGTCCACAGACACAAGTTAAGAGCAATAAAAATTTAGCATTTACAATCAAGGTCTTACTAATTATAATGATATGAAAACACATCAATTGCGTGCATGTGTTCAATCAAATAAGAACAAAGAAAATACCTTTGGATTGAGTGAGGGCGTGGAAGAGAATTTGGGCCAGTTGTTGGGATTTCTGGACAGAATCACGACCACCCCACTCATTCTCAACGGCCATTCGAAGAGCGGCCCATCGGGAGAGCACCAAATTTACGCCCTCTTGTAGTTGAGCAGCGGCCTCCGCCGTCAGCACCGGATTCTTATTGCTGTCCACCATAACTCTGAGATCTGATTTTCCACTTCTCTGCTCTGCCGAAAAGCCAAAAACCCTACTTCTGTCTCAGTTCTAGACGGCGTGGTATTGGGATAATTATTGAACTTTAATTTATTTCAACTTATCAAGGCGTCATTATGGCCATTAAACTTTAATTTGTTACACCATAACTGTTGAACTTTATAATACCCTTCAATTCAAAACTGAATTGATGTCTTTTGACTAGAAAAGGTAATGCTAACCCAAACAATCATTTTATTCTGGACAATACGCAACTTAATTATAATGTAAATCAATATGATAGTGGAAAATAAGGGAATGTATACAGTATAAAATCAAAAATGATTTCTTGGACAAAATAAGTGAAACTCAGATCATGAATGCTGTAAAAATAAGAGCTCAGCTAGCCTAGCTTAGTACTACCGTTTGGAAAACCCAGAAGTAAAAATAGATCAGAAAAATCGTTTGAAAATCAATGCTAGATACACAAACTCAGAATTGAAATTCACGTGGAAATTGGAATTTATGCCTGTGGTTTCATGAATTAAGAGAAAGAAAGAAAAATTCAAAGAAATGCAAAAGCGGCCGAGAACTCAGAACTACACAGCAAATCAGGAATTCTCAAATGTAAAGTGTAAACAAAATACTTACAGACACCAGTTTCCACTGCCGTTTCTACCGTCTGGAGACTGGACTTTGGACTCGTCTCTCAACTGGAGGTAAGTGAACGAACGGCCTGAACCTGAAGGCTGAATTGTTGAAGAATGAAGCATTAGGTTAAAAATAAATAATAAATAAATAAATTGGGCCCTAAAAAATCTGGGCCTGATGCGGAGGCCTATTCGGCCTCGCCTCAGGTCCTGCCTGCAGTCAAACGTAGCCACAAGAGCCTATCTTTGGAAAAAGGTCTCATCAAGAGCATGCCCACGTATGGATATGTAACGAGGGAAGATTACAAAACTAAGAGCTGAAGTTTCTCCAATTTCAAATTTAAGAGATAAAGTTTAAAATTTCAAATTTCAAATTTTTTTTTAATTTTATTTATAAAATAATTAATTAAATATATTGAGGTCACAAATTATTTTTGGATCATATTAAAAAATTTTATAAGTCACAAATTATTTTATAATTACAAATCGAAAATTTTATAGGTCACAACTTTTTCATCGGTCACAAATTTATAAAATTAATAAGTCACGTCTTATTCATTGCTCACACGTTTTATATATCACAAATTATTTTAACATCACAATTCAAAAATTTTAGAAATCACAATTTGTTCATCGATCACAAATCAAAAATTGAAACGTNACAAATCAAAAATTAAAACGTCACAATTTATTTATAGGTCACAAATAACAAATATTAAAAGTCACAACTTATTAGACAGTCATACATTATCAAATTATCGGTCACAAATTAACAATTTTTTAGGTCACACGTTATTTTTTTTGTCACAATTTATCTTTTTCATCGGTCGAACATTGTTTATGAGTTACAAATTAATCAATTTAATGGTCACAAATAACCAAATAATATGTGACCACCACCAAACACCTGTGACTATCACCTCACAAATGCCACCAACAGCATGCAACCGAAACCCTGTCGTCGGAACCACCACCACCACCTCTCGACAGCAAACCATCATCTAAAAATACCGACATCACCACGACGACCACCACCCACCAACCACCGCACCTCCCACTACTAAAAACCCAGAACCTGCACCACCAACCCCCCACCCATCTCACAACCCAAAAAATAAATAAAAATTCCCCACCCTATCGCCAGCAACGTCGCCGTCGCCGACCTCCACCAACACTGCCACCATCTACACCACCCAACCAAAATACAACATGGCACCAACCGAAAGCAGCATCACCACTTCATCGTCTCCGCCACCACAACCTCCAATAAACTACAACGTTCAACTTCAAAACCACCACCACGACTCCCCACTACAACCACTAACAAATCACCACTAACCGTCAAATCCACCGTCGACCCAACAAAACCACCACCACAGCCAAATTCACAGCCACCGCCACCAACAAAAATCATCCCCAAATCACGAAGCAACGCACAGCCTACCATCACCCCATCATCGCTACTACCGCAGTAGTGTTTCAATTCCATAACGTCCATCAACCACCACAAAATAACGACTCCCTGTAAAAATTGCAAAAAACTTAGAAAAAAGTACAGCGACGATTCGCACAAATAAATGCCGCTACTTCGTGTTTATCCACAACGCCGCCGGACGAGGTTGCATCATCTCGTGGAGGCTGACTACCGACAGAGAGGGAGGAGATCGAAGAGTGGAGAAGAGAGAAGGTAGAGAGAGTGACAGAGATGAGAGAAGGTAGAGAGAGAGAGAGAGAGAGATGGATGAGGAAAATTAAAATGAAATTGATTAGAGTTTGTGATGAAAATTATACAATTAATATTTAAAATTTAAAATAAAATGTCTGATTTTTTAAAAGTTAAACCTTTAATCTGATTTTTGAAATTGAATCTTCTTTAAAAATCTGGTTTTGTGTAATTTCCTCATGCATCAAAGCAGTGGACAAGACATTGGGACCAATCATTCGGGCTTTGTTTGGTGGAAATTAAAATTCATATTTTAATTTGAGTCAAAATCAATAATTAATTTTAAAATATATTTTATGAGACCTACAACTTTTCAATTATACATTTCATCAACTTTTATTAAAATTTACTAAAAATCTAATTTTAATTTCTACCAAACAGTGGCTCAATCTCTTAGCTTAGGTGAATGGTAGAAATGCTTGAATAATTTGATCTCTCTATGGAAGGTTAATTTCTCATTTAAGACCCTTACTTTAGTCTCTCTATCATGATTCAAGAAGAAAAATTAGGACTTCATTATCATGATAATCTAGTTCGGATTTTATTTTAATGTGACCCAGTCTATTTTAATATGAATAAATTTAGAGTGTAATAGATATATAAGAATCGTGAATGAAAATAGCAGATCTCTTTTTTATCTTCTTAAATTATCCCATGTAAAATTGAATATATTAAGACGCTTTTAAACCTTTTTTTTCGAACTAAAACATTTTTTTTTTAATTTTCACCCCCAACAATTTTTTTTTTCTCTCGGTGGTGGTGCAACTATTTTTTTCCCCTACCTGCAACCTTTTCTTTTTCCTCGAGGGGCTTTTTTCTCTTTCCATCGATAAATATTGGTGAATTGTTCACTTGAAACGTGAAAAATGATAAAAGTAATTATAAAAGTGTCATTCACTGTAGGTGCCACGGGAAAATTTAGTCTAGGTAGAATTAGATTAGGGTGGGGGACATGTTGGAAATTTATTTAATCAAGTACAACGAAAAATAAAATAGATTTTAATTCTCACCAAAAATCATCTCTATGCTTAGATAGAAACGGTGATGAGAATTATATTTTTTGTAGATTTTACAAACTTCTTTGCTTCTCTTTTTCGTGCTAACAAGAATATGAATCATGTTCTATTATTTGAAAAACCCTAATAACTTATTAATATAAGTTTAGGTGAGCTTGATCCGTCTCTTAAATTTAATTAGGTCAAATATTTAATTAATCGAATTAATTAAATTTGGCCTATAAAATAAATTAATCCAAATAATTAATTCGAACATATTAATAAGCAACCCAATTAATTAATTGTCCAACACCTGTTAATTAATTAATTAATTGGTAAATCTTGTCATTTCGATTCTCCTTTTGTGTGTGACCCATTAGATTCTCGATCACGATAGCTAATATCTTGAATTATTATTTCAATCAAAATAAAATCGATAAATTAAAATATCTCATTCTAATTTATTATCAATTCACATCCGTTATCTCATATTGACATCTAATAATATGTTAGGACAATATACATGTGACGAAAAATGTCATATGATATGACAAAATCAAAGTTGTTCGTTTATCGTAAATCGAAATATTTTTCGACTTATAAGTACGCAGTGGCCAAGTATTTCGTTATCAACTTAACTGAATGAAACATATATCATAATCTCTTACTATCTAAGAGTGATGAATCATCTATTGATTTTCACAACTTTCATATGATTCTTAATATACCCGAACAATGTTGTATTAACGATCATTGACGTAACAACATCAAATATCATTAAGGTATGACTTCCCCATGTAATGCACTATAATAACCTCAAAACATTCACGTGTTATAACTTCCTTATAACAAAACATTCACATGTTTATTTAAGTGTCGCCACAGTTTAGATTGTGAGTTCAATTACTTACGTCACAAGTAAGAAATACCACACTTGATTGTCTATCCCTAATAATCACATGCCTAGCTCGTCATTACTTATGACCACGGATGATTTAAAATTCAATCACATAATTTTTTGTATTTCGCAATCACAATTCCTTGTGATCAAGAAATTACCAAGACTTGAATTTACGAATTTCATTACTTAATTTATTAGAACATTAAGTTAAACAATATATATATATTAAAAATATTTATATCCAAAACTGGTTAGACTTAGGGCATAACACCTACTTGACTTACACTTACGGCGAGTAAAGTATTCATATAGACTTGATACACTTAAATAAGTCGAACGAAATAATGAACTCAATTATCTATTTAAATTAATATATTTATTTTTAGGGTGTGTTTGAGCCACGTTATTTTTAAAAAAATATATTTTGAAATAGTAAATTAATGGAGAATGTGTATTTGAAAGGAAAAAAGAAAAAGAAAAATTACTGATGTAATATAAAATATTATTTTATTGAAAAATGTGCGATTGAAAATGAGTAGAAGAATGAAAATGAAAATTTTAATTTGGTTCAAACAGGGGCTTAAATTTAAATAATACAGTAATAATAGTTCATGCCGACCTCTAAAATTTTAACATTACAAATAAATACAAGGAGTAAACGATCTTAAAAATATACATCATTTAGCATCGAGCGAATCTGTCTAGATGGTGGAGAAAAGGGATTTCGATGCAGTCCATTTGTGCAAAATATTGCCAAAGATATCATAGAAGTCGATCCCAACTTCATTTCGTGTAATTCTCATTGTCATAAAACCTTGTCCATCGTAATAAAACTTCATATTGTCCTCTTCGTTAGACGACCAGCTATAACTACCTCTCCAGGCCTTTGAACCTCCGCCACTTGTCAAAAATTGAAGAGGGCTATAAAAGATTAAAAAAAATATTTCATTAATTTTTTTGCCAATATTAACTTAATTAATATTAAGGCAGTAATATTACCTGTCTCCACTGCTGATGTGTTCCAAACAATGATCATGCCCATTTATGTACATATCGACATTATTCGCCTGCAAAATTTTGATTAACAAATACAAACATTTATTTTTGAACCAAAAAAAAGGGTGAAAACATACCTGGAGAGGTCTCTTTTAGATAAAAAGAAGTGAAATGAGTCCACCATTTCCCATTTTCTTAAAATATATTTTTCTTTGAATGACGCTATTCATATTCGCTCACTGCAGCAGTCGCCCTATGTGGCACACACATGACTGCCCTATGTGGCACACACATGTCAAGTGTGTATTTAATGCATTAATGTGGTAAAAAACTATCACATTAATGCATCAAATAACTACATGTCATTACTCTTTTTCTTTTCATTTCGCTACAAAATTTACGAGGATTTTGACTCTATTATTTAGACCTCCTAGTCTTATTCGTCGACTAAGGTATAAAATAATATCAAAATTTCGTTAACTGTGTTGAGAGGACGTTTAAATGTAATGGCACTATAGTCATTTTGTATGATTAAATTGTTATATTTAAGAAAAAAAAATTGACGCAAGACAAATTTCATTTTTTATTTTTATAAAAAAAGACCAGTTTGAATTTTTTTTTCAAAAAAAAAAAAGAAGAAGATTTACCTGCAGAATTGGAAGAAGTCTTTTTACAAGCTCTTGGGTGTCGCCATGAATTCCACCACTTCTAATGGTATGATGACCAACCACAATTTTCCATTTTGCATGAGATTCTCCTAATGCTGATTCTAGATCCTATTAAGAAAATACAAAATATTGTTCAGTGTTTCGTTGGACGGAATAAGATTAAGTCACATTGTATTATGTAGTCGCAATAAATACAAGATAAAGAACTATCGGCAAGGTGACAAACTAGTTTACTTTCAATAGGGTTGTAAGATATTTTTCTCTCGGAAGTACGCCTCTCCAATCATAGACTTCATCTTCTGGATCTGTAAAATATTTATCTTGGAAGGGGGTCGTGTCGATGAAGAAGAACTCCGCAATATCTGCTCAAATGAAGTGGAAATGACAAAATGAGTAATAAACAAACTGTAAACCTTAGAAATATTTTAAGAAACTCAAAAGAATTGTTACAAACCTGTACTGAGAATGTAAGATTTGAGGCAAAACCATTTACTATCCCTTTGTTTGAGAATTGGGCTCAATTGTGCTAAAGCATCACCTCTATAGTCATGGTTCCCCAATACTGGAATAACAAAGCAAATGGGTAAATTTTAATCGAGGTCACCCAACTTTGAGCTAAGTCCAACTAGGTCAACGAACTTTAAAAAGTCTCAATCAAGTCATCAAACTTTAATTTTATTTCAAATTCAATCACTCTGTTAGATGTCGTTAATGTAATTGACGTTATTCAGCAACATTGAATGTTAAAATTAGATGGATATCATTGAATGCTACGTAGGACGGAGTTCAACCAAGTGTAACAATGCAAATATATAATATAAACATGTAAATAAAGTTAAATATTAAGTTTGGTTAATGTAAATATTTTCATGACATGACGTTTTCAAGTTCCACTTAAGTTCTATGTGGCATTCCATCAATCACGTTAACGATGCAATAACTGAAAGTGAAATAAAATAAAAGTATGGAGACAATTTAATTTGAATTAATTTTTGACAAATAAATTGTAATTACCAGAATACCACAGTTTCTGCAAGCTGGGTGCAGTGTAAATTTTGGTAAATGATTCCTCAAATGCTGTATCGTGTTCATCAGTTAATCCTCCGGGGTAAAAGTTGTCACCTGTAGAAATAATAAAATCCAGGTCCATCTTCTCTCCAGTAATTCCCATCTGAGAGAATAACATCAAAATAATAAAAGTTAATTGTTGTACATAAATTATGCGGCTTTGCTAGGGGTACATCACCGTGTACATCGGGGGTGTAGACCTTGATGTACATCTTTTGGTGTACAAGTAGATTTATCCTAAATTATGTACCCTTATCATGACACCTTTTGAAAACTTGACTCTCGTACCTGTAAGGAAAGACCGACGACACTGTTTGCACGTGTATTTAACAAGGATTTTTCTACTTTGACATAAAAATTGTAACATAATCCCAGTTGACAAATGATGATTTGATGGGAATGTTGACTGTATTTAAAAGTCCAATAATGGGATGTCATGTAGCATTATGTCAAGAATTATGTCAATCATTATATTTCTATAGCATGATTCATTTAACTAGCTTGTGGATGGGACGGCTAATTATCATAGTTTAAAATAAAGATACTTGTACTACCGAACTTTTGAAGAATTTTGTTACTTGTACATATAAAAAAATATACATAATATGATGTGGAGAGAAAAGAGTGGATAAAAAAGTTAATAATATTTTATACTGACAAATAGTAGAGTATCGTGTGACATTATGTAATCAATTATATAAGTTTTGATGTACATTTAGCAATATCCACTTTTGAAAATATAAATATGCTTTCAAATCATTTCATTCTATTGGTAATATGTTGTTATTGTTATTGTTATTCTTTCATTAGTGCGTAGTTGAAAAAATGGCTTTAAAGGACATTTCGTCCCTTTTAAAGAGAATAAATAATTAAAATGGAATATGCATGGAATTATACCCTTGTAATAAACCTACACCAAATACAGTGACTCCTACGAAAACTTGCTTACACGCAAAGTATCCAATCCTTCCAAGCCACATATTTTTTTTAAAAAAAATTAGGGTATCCATCATTGCATCGGAATATGCTAGTTTTTGGATTCTACAAGGGACCTAGTTTTGTCTTTTGGCAAGGGTGTTAGATGGGACGAATCGAGCTAGACGAGTTATGTGTTCGAGTCGAGCAACAAATAACTCATGCAAGTTGCTCCTCGAATTGATTCTCGCCATTTAACACCCTACTTTTGCCTAAGAATATGATTCTTTTGGATGAACAGAAACAAGAACACTGTTATTCGTACTTTTTGATGTACAAAAAGTTTGAAAAAAAATAAAATCCTCAACCAATAATTCAGAAACTGCAACAGAAAAAGTAAACAGTAGGAGATGACTGCAAGAAGAGAAAGAGATCTATATAATCATGTATTTTGCACTACAATTAACAAGATAGGATAGATATATGTGATATATATTCTGGTCAGTGTCGAACAGAACTCTCCGATTTTCAAAACACACACCACTCAGTATATTATATTATATACCTGGTAAGCAACTTCGGACTGATTATATTTTCCTTTCCTTCCCCAATCTCCGACCACCAAAATGCTAAGGGAGCCATCAGCTTTTGCAGGATGATCAAATCTTTGAAGCTCAGCATTCCCATCTTTACCATTAATAAAAATTGTACCTACGATCACACAGATAAGTATAGAAATTTCATTCTTTACAGCCATCGGTTCGGTGGGAACGACGGTGCCGGAGGACGAAGAGTTCGGAGAGAAATAAGAAAAGATATGAAGGCAGCTCCCTTGTTGAGGGTCCTTTTTAATATTAGCACAGTACGTAGAACTGGACAGGATTGTCCAGTTGTCTTCTGATATAACATGTCCTTTAGTCCCTAAAGTTACAACAGAATTTCAAATTGGTCCTTAACTTTTATTTCGTTCCAGATCGGACATTAAAGTTTGCTAAGTTCCAAAATGGATTTCACGAGTAACAAAGTGACAAGATTGAGCCCCTATTTGACACACATTCTCTAAAAATATATTTTTTCAAAACTCATTTTCAATCACACATTTTTCAATAAAATAATATTTTCAATTTCATCAATAACTTTTCATTCTTTTTCAACCACACATTCTCTATCAATCTACTATTTCAAAATATATTTTTCCAAAATAACGTGGCTCAAACGCACCATAATTAATAAACCTTGACAATTCATGAACAGAGTCCAGCTAGAACAGTATCAAATCATTACAAAAGTTGCACTTTCACCACAAAAGAATACAAAACAAAGCTTCAACGNAAAAAAATAATGAAATGCATCAAAATAAATTTTAAAATAAGGAGACCGAGTTTGAGGAATTGTCATGCTTGGCAGCCAGAAGTTTGACATATTGGATGACATATTATTATTGAACTGTTTAAAAAAATCTTATTTGTACATCACACATTGTACATAAGCGGATACATCACTCTCACATGGGGTGTGTGACACATTGTATAAAATATTTTTTAATCTAAGCGAGTCCCACTCCCATGTGAGGGGGGCGTACACCACGATGTACAATGTAATGTATAAGTAGCAAGACCGAAATAATTAATACCGTTATTCAATCAAGTATTTTTCCTCAAGTCAATCTGATATTCAAGATGTTGAAAACAGAATTATTATAGAAAGAAAATAATTACGTTATGGGCCTTTGGTGCCCTACCAGCTTAGAATATTCTTTCTATATCTATACACCAATAAAAGAGACCATTATCAAAAGCAGGCAGACAAGATAATGTCGGATCCCACTATTCTGGTTGTAAAGCCTCTTGATGATTGACATGTGAATCAGCTGGGAGATTATTATTTTAGAATTTACCAATTTTAAATAATAATTCATATTAATTATATTTTATAAAGGCTTAGAGCCCCTTGATTAGGCTCCATGAAAAATTGATTTGAGGGAGTATATATTTTGAAATCGTGACTTTTTGGAAAAATCGTGATTAAAAAATAAAGAAAAATATCAGATTTACGTGTAACATTATTTTGTTGAAAAATGTGTGGTTGAAAAACGGTTTCGAAGTTTTCGAGGTGTTTTTTGTGTTTGTTCTTTGCGCCATACATCTTTAAATCAATAAAATGATAAATCCAATTTAAATGTGTATATATATAAGACTCGCTTTAATGATATTATTATTTAATGTTACATGATGTGATGATCATCTCTAATAGACATTAATAAAATTACGCAAGATGAAAAGAGTAATATGGTCACGGGCAGGGGCAAAGCTTCTTTAATAATGTATGATGGTGACCCCAATGCACAAGTCCAAACTCCTTTGTGTGACCCTACTCCGTGAAAGTAACAAACAATTTAATTAAGCATAACTATTTAGAATAAACTCATCTAGTCTAACCCCTAATTACTCAAACCCAATTATTGTCCACTTTTGACCTTCTAGTTTAATTGGAATCAGCCGATACTTGCCGGTACAACTAAAAGAGCGAAAATCGATCACTTCCCATGTCAAAAAATACGAAAAAGTAGACCCGTGAAAGGAAAAACTACAAAAACCTGCCCATGTCGATTAGTTCGATTCCGATTAAATCCTTTTTAACTCTTGATGTCGATGCCCATGTGAACTTTGAAATGCTTAAGGTCTGTTTGATTGCAATGGTAGAAAATATGTGGAAATAAAATGAATTCAAATGACAGTAATTGCCTAAAAAAGTTTTGTAGAGAATTGTTAATTAAGTGTGTTTCATTGTTATAATTTTTCATCAGAAAAGTTTTTAAATTTTGTGTTTGTTTGACTTTATTTTATATGAAAATTGTCCATTAAAGTGATAATTATTTTCACAATTGGTTATAAAATTTGTTTCTATTGCCAAAAAGTAAAAAAAAAATATTTCTTAAAAAATCATTTTTTTCATCAAAATTTAGTGTTTGTTTGTCTTTGTTTTATATGAAAATTACCCATTAAAATGAATTTTTTTTTAGAAATAGTTATGAAAGTTGTTTTTATTGCAAAAAAAAAAAAAAAGAACGTCGAACTAGATGGAAAAGCATTTTCCCTAACTCCAAGGAAATGGAGGATGTAAAAAATTTTATTAGCCAAATTTGTGTAATCAAACACCACATTTTGACAAAGTTGAAAATTATATTCCTTTTTCCTAGTAAAACATGGTCCATCAAACATGGCCTTATTTCTCATGTGAGATAGAGTTGTCTCTGTTTGCCTGATAACGATAATGCACTATGAGATATCCATAGAAAAATCAAAAAATAATTATGTTTGGTGTACAATATGGATGATAACTTTATTCAAGGAATGTCGCGAAGCATTATATTATGGAAAATGACAAATGTACAGTCAAATTGTACATTAATATACACAGTCCCCACACATGGGATGAGACCCGCACACATGGGGACTGTAAGTGACTGTATAATTTTAGAGCCTGTTTGGCACAGATTCTNAAAATCAGTCATGCTATAAGTATAGGGTTTTTTCACAGATTTTGTACCCAAAAACAACTGTCTTCCTGTACAAAATTTGTGAAGAAAATCATGTACTTGAAGAATTACTCGAGAAAAATATTTGGAAAGGTGAAAGAAGCAATGGAGGAAAATGAGAGATGCGACGGGAGAATGAAGAAGATAAAAATAGAAGTATACTTGTTATAGTTTAATATCAATATCACGTCTTGATTATTTATATTTATGTATTAAAAAAATTATATGCTTCAAATGATTTAGGCCCTGTTTGGGAGGGATTTAGATTTTTCTACAGGAAATCAATTCTCATTTTCAACTACACATTCTTCAATAAAATAATATTTTCCATCACATCAATAATTTTTTCTTCTTTTTCAACCACACATTTTCTATTATATCACTATTCAAAAATCAATTCTTCCCCCAAAAATCTCTACCAAACACACTCTTAATGTAAATGTAGCAGGGTCCTTATATTATTGGCTAATTTGAGCCTGTTTGGTAGGGATTTTTGGGGGAAAAATTGATTTTGAATAGTGATATGATGGGAAATGTGTGGTTGAAAAAGAAGAAAAAAATATTGATGTGGTGAAAAATATTATTTTATTGAAAAATGTGTGGTTGAAAATGAGAATTGATTTGAGAATTGATTTGAGAATAAAAAACAAACAGGGCCTTAAACAATTTGCCAACTCACCACATTACCAAGCACTTCTGTATCATCCATGATAGTAGAAATAACAAAATCCAGAAAAATGGGGAGCTCAGCTCTGCTCTGCTCTGCTCTGCTTTGCTTTGCTTTTTATTTAGGATAAGTTAGCAGGTTGAGTGCACCTCCTTTTTACACGTCATCAAATCACCTGCTCACAAAATCAAACCCAATATTTTTACCAGCCAATTAGATGTGTGCATGTGTAGGCTTTTATAGGGAATGTGTCACTGTCCACTTCGTAGACAAAAATTTAACAGTGATCCGTCAATAAAAGTTTGACAGCCCCTACCGTCCTTTTACTCTTTAATCGAGAAATTTTGACCTTTTGGCTTATATTTCGCTTTCATTTTTAAAAATTCATTTCCAACCTTACATTAAATAAAATAATTAAATCGACATTTTTTAGTGATTTTTTAAATTTTTTAACCACACATTCTTTAAAAATTACTATCTCAAAGCACATTTTCTTTCAATAATGGGGCTCAAAACATCGCAAAAGTAGTTTGCGGATTGAGGGTTAAAAATATAACTCGAAAAAATCATCATTTTGCTACAACTAAAAATGAGAAATAACGACAAACAATTCCTATACATCATTGTCATTGAAATCACGGGCTTGTCACAATTCAAATAATAGCATTGATTTTTGAATAATTCTCGGTGTACATATTTTTTGGTACCTAAGAGCGTCCACACCCTCAAATGAGGTGGGACCCAAGTAGACTCAAAAAAAACATCATTTTGCACGTTTTCAACTACAAAAACAAATGAGAAATAACGACAAACAATTCTTGTACATCATTCTTATTGAAATCATAGACTTGTCACAATTCAAATAATAACATTGATTTTTGAATAATTCTTGGTGTATATAATTTTTTTGTACGTAGATGTGTCCACACCCTCACATGGGGTGAGACCCGAGTAGTCCGTGGATTGATGGTTAAAAATATAACTCGAAATAACATCATTTTGCACGTTTTTAACTACAAAAACAAATGAGAAATAACGACAAACAATTCTTGTACATCATTTGTCATTCAAATCACAGGGTTGTCACAATTCAAATAATAACATTGATTTTTCTAGACACTACCAAAGTTGCAATACAAACTAAAATAATCTAGAGACTCGAAACTTTAACAAACCTTCACAATTACAGCCCGACACCTTCATTAATACACATAAAATCAACTGGAAACCAATTTTACTGAATCGAAATACAGAAACAGAGAGTCGACAAAGCCAAAGGGAGACCATTCAAACAAACTAATAGGCTTTAAGATTCACAACGAAAACTGAAAACATAACAAGTAGACGTTAATCATTTTCTAACCTTCGCTACACTTCATTTAGCGGTGAATTGCGCCCAATAGAGAGAGAAGAAATGTCCTGTAATGGCTTGATGTTTCTGAATGAATTGCATCGTTTAGAGATTTTCTGTATTTCTTTTCATACTCTGCTTTTATGTACTGCATATCAATCTCTGCTCGGGTCACTACTATTCTAGTAAGTTTTGAATCATCTGTTCCTATGCCCTTCATTGCCTTGTGTAATTCCTGGGTGTAATTATAGAGAATCGTGGTCGTGTTAAGGGTCAGTGATACAAAAATTAGCACTTCAAAGCAAATTTCTAGAATTAAATTTCAGAATAAAACACGAACGTATTTGACACTATAACTTCTACACACAAAAAATAAAAACAAAACAAAATGGAAACAATTTCCAAGAGACGAACTGCACATTTAGCACATCGACAACACACAAGGGGTGGGCTTTTCTTCCTTTGGATGAAAGAAGACATCAAGAAATATGGAGAGAACCAAAGGACAAACAAAATCGATACATGAAGGTTATCAGTTCCATGCATGGGAAATAAAAATAAGAAAAAGGCCTCAAACAAAGTAATGTGTCAACAAAAGACCAGTCGGAGAGGTATTTTTTTGGGATGAAGTAAAAATGGAAAATCAATTATGGACTTTATAAAGAGAACAGCGTAACAAAGTCCCTTGACAGGTGATTTGAGTTCCTTATGCAGCAATTAATAGAGATATGATTATGTTTAATAGTTCCTTTTTGTTACATTCATCAGAAAATGGTTATGACAGCTTGAACCAATTACATTTTGGCAGTACTATTCAGGGTATTACAAAAATGAATTTAACAAGATACTTTCGTTTAAATTGAGATCGATTCTATGACTGTCAAGGTGTTTATAAAACCAGGGTCAAATAATATTTTAGGTCAAACGACTTTTTTATCCACATATTTCGTAGAATCCACAAATACTACCCATTTCTCCACCACTCATTTGCCCCATTTATAAACACCTTGCCAGACATGAGTAATGCTACAGGTACATAAACATCTACATAAGGGTTCACATAATTACACGTGTCATATGATCCAACCTTTAATTCAAATTTCACACTTACACATCAACAACTAGATGATTGACACATCACCATTATGTGCACCATTATGTGCATCATTATGTACCTCTAGCATTATTCGCCAGACATACCCTAAATAGTACTATGCTAAGATTTAAACATATAGAGGATCTATTCTATTAAAGATGAGCAAAACTAACATGTAAACTATTCCATATTCACCATTACATTAAAGGGAAAGAAATACATGATTTTTCAGTTTATGCTTCCCTTGCTGTCAGCCCAAAGTCAAAAGGAATCTAGTTTTTGAACTAGTACTCTAAAACTATTTATTAGCATGTATCACAGCCAAATAAGTCATCCACTAGATGCATTCAACTGAGAAAACAAAGAAAGAATGATTAAACGAAAACTAAAAGAGCATTACGAATACACAAGCTTGAAACTATGGGAAATAAAATCCATTCTTTTTGAGACTGTTCTGGATAAATGTATTATTTACCTTAGCAAAGTACATCCCAGGGTTTTCAGCACACCTTAAAATAGTTAAAAGGGCAAACTCAAAGAGTCCTGAGGTTTCACTTTTTACTGCCTGCAACACGATGAATTATTTAGTTAACAGATACGGGACAGATTAAGCAAATAATTGGGAAAAATAAAATAGCATACCTTTTCCAGTGAGTTTCCGTACATGCTATGATAAGCAGCAGAAATAGCAGTTAACTGTGACCTGCTTCTTTCAGAAAAAATGCGTATGAAAATCTTCTCATCAGTCCCTAGCTTCTTTTCCCCAGCTTTAAAAAGAGATTTAGCATCAGCCTCAGCCATTACCCTGTCAACTTGTGGACCTTCATAGCGCATTGCACTAACGCAAGCAAGCAACAACTACAAAATAGAAAAGAAATAGAGAACATGATGAATGATATGAACTGGTGATGCTAAATCTATTTGAATCCCAGTCTTAAAGCATTAAATTAGATTATTTATTAAAAAAAAAGGTTAATTTGAAAGTTTCTTGAATAGCATGGATGATAAAAAGGTTGGTTTTTCATGTTTAATTCTTAGCTTGCGGAGTAGAAGTTTTTTTTAGTTTGTCAAGTCAAGGGTACTTCGGCAATTCTATAACATTCTCATCAAAGGTTTAACCAGATTATTAGGTATTATCAGGAGGCAAATCATGTTTTTGAGTTGTCCTTTCTCATCTATGACTAGATTTAGCACTCCATTCTTTTTTAAATTAGGATTCGTCTTTAAGAGTCCATATAAGGTCTTCTACCTTTCCTTTCGTTAGATTTGAAGAATAATATTCCAGTAGCAGATTAGGGTCTGTTCTCTTTACCATTTTCAATCCGTTTTCCATTTTCGAGTTTCCAAAACAGTAAAAACGCGTTCTTTTCTCTATTTTCGAAAACGCGTTTTTAAAAACAAATTAAAAATTTACAAAGAAAACCCAAAACGACAAATTCAGTTATAATCAAATCAAAATTTTCAAAAAGCGTTTAGGGTGTTTTCAAAACAATTTTTTAAAATGCCAAAAAGAACACATTTCAACAATTTCAAAATAAACACTCAAAACGAATTCAAAACACAAAACTGAAACACAAAGAAAACAGCCCCTTAGTTTCTTAAAGTTACGTTTTCCATTTGAGCACCTCCGTTCATCAGTGCAAGTTTCAGCCTTCAGATCTAATTCTTTTTAAGCCTTTTTAGTTTTCGAACTCTTGCCCAAATTTTACTTTAAAAGATTAATATTGTCTCGAGGTTCCTGGTATTATAAAATTCAGAACCCACCAGACCAGATTTCAAAATCTATTCTACAAAAGTTTGTGCAGCCCTTAGGTGTGTCCTGTCACCAGGTAATTTTTGTTTTAGCCAGAAAGTAAATATTTTAACATTTTACTAAAATAGTATGACAAATACAATTTTCCCTCCTAAAGTGAGTAAAATCATTTCTAATGTTTGTACAACTTAAAAATAATTTATGAAGACATGAAACCAAACTGGAATCAATTTAAAACATTTATCAGAAAAAATATACATACAACTTTGAAGGTTGTATTTAGTTGACCCTATTATAAAGTTACCAAATAACAGCTTAATGGTTTTTTGAAGATAAGGAACAAATGTGAGCATGCATAGAATTTCTTTCAGAAGAATGTAAACATCTCCAACCAAAAAAGGGGAAATTAAAATTCTTAACCACCAAGGGAAATAGATGTTAAAAGATGCAGCTCCTTTTGTTCTACCAGGTTCAAGTCTTAAGACTCTTAACAAAGTAATCAACATGTCATGCGAGTTAAATATAATGTCACAAACTTGTTTTATGGTATTGCACATAAAGAATCCAATCACTAACAATGCAATTTTAGATTACATAGCAAAACAGAGAAATCTTCTGAACAGAACTGAAAAAGATTGACATGTTTGTTCCACATCAAAACTTGTTTACTTTCGAGTGTGAGTGTGCAAGCAAGAGAGAGAACCTTTTGGTGATCGCCAGATGCTTGATTTTCAATATCATGCTCCAGATAAGCATGAAACCGTGCATGGTAAATTTGTTTAAAGTGCTGTATCTGGGATGGAGTCCGTGAACATAGTACTTCAGTAGCAGCTTTAAGATCAATTATGTCCCCACTCAAAGCGTTCCTAACTATAGTAGCATCCCTTGCTGCTGGATCAGGCATCCAAAGCAAGACAGCCCTCTGAAAGTGAAATCATTTGAGGTAACATTTATACAACATAATATTGTATACACAAGTGAAAGTAGATTTCTTCAGCTGAAATACGTCAGAAAAGATAATCATATATTCTATTTATGATCAATGTGTCAATCCAGCCAAGAAAAGATTGAAGATTACAAATAGAGAGAGACAAATATTTGATGATTTTCAAGTTACAATAAATAATCATTGCTATACTTTTTAGTACCTTGACATCACCACTAAGTTCTGAAGACAAGCGTTTGCTAAGTTCTTCAGAATACATAGCTCTATACTCTTGTTCAATGAGAGCGCGCTGTGTTGCATCTCGATGGGCAAGAATATGAACCACTGTTGCAGTATCACATCCAAAACCTGAAAACAACAGTTCAGAGGCCCACAGCAATCAGATGCAGGTTAGGATTACCAATTTAAATCTTAGACAATCCTTGTAGAATAACCATTCAGATAAAGTAATTTAAGTGATGGAAACTTCTTGAGGGCATTCACATATAAAAAGAAAAAAATAGTTCGAAAGTTAATCGGAGTTCTGTAAAAGTTGTTGTCTACATAGGTCAGCCTAAAATAATTCTTATGTGCCTCTATTTTGTAGAAAACTAAAAGTGGTATCATGTCGTAGTATCTCAAAAATTTGTCTTGCTTAAAAGAATTAAACTACAAAAGATAACATTAGCTATCTTTAAGAATTTGAAAGTGCAAAAATTAGTTTCACCAACGCTACACATAAGTAGAAACAAGAAAAAAAAACCTAGGAAATATAATTCAAATGCTTTAACTCAAATCCACTCTCAATTTATAAATTTGATGAAATGGCAATAACCATCAAATAAAAATTAATGCCCCATGTCAGAAAGGGAAAAAAAAAACCATAAATATTATTTCAATTTTTCATTAAATATGCAATACTATTTGGGAAAGAAGTTTCATGGGTTCAACAACACAGATCAGTGTCTAAAGCTTCCAGAGCCTAAACCATTAAGAAGTTCCCATCAAAACCATCTCAGAGTTTTGACCAGATAAAATGTGGGATTCTTGGAATATGGAAGTCACACCATACCATAAATATAAATATTGTTTTTAAAACTATTCACTTTTATTTTTTTGTAACATAACATGTTTGAGTTCCATGGATGTTCCATCACTGTGATCTAGTACCAGAAAAATAGTTAATTAACCACAGTTTTTGTGGCCAATAGATTAATACGTATATAGTGTCCCCTTCCCACACCCAACCTCCCTCCACAAAAAATTAAATAAATAAAAGTAAATTCAAGTCAATTAAACATTAAAAAAAAAAAAAAAATGTCCTAAGACTGTTTAACCTCCCACATGGCCAAATCTTATCCACTCTTGGTTTCTTGAACAAACAAAGCCTAGAACTCTAATCAATTATTCAATTACAAAAAACACTTCTTTTAATTCTCAGGAAAGATTCATAACGGTTTATGCATAAAAAACACACTCAAAACACAAGGTGTTCAATTCAAATTAAGAGAACAAAACCCCAAATCGTGAAATTAAGAAAATAATATTAAAAACACACAATTACGTCCCCAATATCACAAAAACGCTGGTAATTGCGTTTGATAAAAAAAAGAAAGAAAGAAAGAAAAGAACCATGGGTAATGGGAGAAAACTAAATACTCAGAAAATACCCTTAAAAGCTTTGTAAAGCTTTACGGCATCATCACGAGGCGATGTTAACACTGGCGGAATACTCAACGTTGCCATCTCTCTTACACCCACACCAAACGAAATTGAACGAAACGAGTGATTCAACAATAAAGATTCGTACTTCACCGGTAAAATTTTTCACCACAATTTTTTCGGAATCAAATCGTCAATAAGAACAAGGATATGGATTATGTTGGTGTCTGTAGCATTTGACAGGTCTGGGCCCACCAATTCAATAATTAATCATGCTACACGTATTATGTTTACACCGTGTAACACTTTACCTGTCTATAAATTTTTTAAAACAAAGAGACGTAGGAAAAACGTTGTACAAGCAACATTATTGATCAATTTTAGAATTACGTTATTCTCTACCATTTTTCAAAAAATTATTTTCTACAGTAATCAATCTCTATCACACATTCGAATAATAAAATATTCTACACATAAATCGATAAAAAATTTTCAATTTCAATCACACATTTTCCAAAAAATACTATTCATTAAACCATTTTCTTCTCAATAATGGTTGACAAACAGGGGCTTAAGTGTATATTCTACGATTTACATTTTCTTTTTATATTGTATGAGAACTCAAATCATGTTGGACGAATATATATATATTTATAAAATTGTCCAGTTATGTTTCGAAACGTCACATAATATAAAAGATGACGTCACATATTGCATGATTCTCAATTGAGTAATGCTATTCATCCTCCTTGGGGATGAAAATACAGTTTACGTGACGTTAATACGTCACTAAATGATAGCTGAAATTAAATAAGTCATTTAATTTCACCTTTCATTTAACCTATCATTTAAAGTCACGTAAATTGTACTTTCATCCCCACTAAAAATGAATAACATTACTCTTGTCAATTTCAGCCGCGTGGTGTTAGGTACACCAAACTATTCAATTTCAAAACGCGTAGCTCTTGTAGGCCTACCCCATGGCTTTAATTGATTCTAATAAAACGATGAGTTCAATTGGATATAAAAAGGGGTCAAAGTTTCAACGCATATTTAATAGTTATTACTTACTCTGTCCCATTTATACAGACTTATTTTATTTTTTATACAGATTAAAAACTTTTATTTAATGTTATTGAAAAGTAATTTTGCCAAAATCTTTTTTAGTTTACTCTCATTTAATTATCAATAATAAAACAAAATTATATAATTGTGACAAGAAAATAAGGAAAGTGAGCCTAAATAAAATGGGACGAAGGGAGTATATTTTGAACGTTAAGTTGTTGATTATTTTGATAAAAATTGATAGATTATATGATTAAAAATTGTGAGACCTATGAATAATATGATTAAAATTAATTATTGATTTTAATTAAAATTTTAATTTATTTTTAATTGAACTGTTTTGTTTGAAATTAAACATTCCGATCACATGGTTAGCAAAAGGGTTAATTGTTTCATGATTTAGAGTGACGATGAGAGATAATGTTATTCGAAAAATATTTTGAAACGTATGGTGACTAATTGATAGTATAGTGACCGTTGAGGATCAACTTTGAAATATAATGATTATTATCAAAAGTTTTATAGTCCTGAAAATAAGGTTAAACATAGATCATCGAAATACTTTATGCCGTTAATCAAGGAAATCAATGGATTTATCGTTCTTTATTGAGATGCGAGTAAAAGGTTTGTCTTAGTGGATGTGATGACTTTGACTTGGGTAAATTTCACTACAAGTTTGAATTCAAACAAAAATTATATTTTTAATAAAAGCAGATAAAATTTATAATTGAAAAATTGATGAAAAAATATGAATTATATAAATTATACTATTAAAATTAATCATTGATTTTGATTTAAATTTTTAGCTTGTGACAATTAGAAAAATCAAATAACCAAATCAAAACTATGAATTTGTGTATCAATTATGTCAATTTTTGTACCAATTTTTTTTTTAATTCAAATTGGATTGATGTTATGGACTTGATTAAATAGTTTGGCAATCAAAATATAATAAAAATCTATCTTATACGACCATACAAACATCTCTCTCATTAAGCCCCTGTTTGGCCTGCATCATTTCTTCCTCTTTAGAAGAATTTGTACCGTTGAGGGGGCCCCACCTGCTGATTATTTTTACTTTTTCCTCACACAATTTTTGGTTTTGGTGTCCAACGGCATTATTTCTCATTTTCATTTTGGGCAAAATGCTGGCCAAACAGACGCTAAAGAGTATAAATCCAACGAAATTTTGGTTGTCGACATGTCAATTATATAAAAAGTGATTTTTATCAATCTTTTCTTACTCTCTCATGTCTAAGAACTCTGTACCTTTTTCTAATCCATATATGTGTGAAACAAGCCAGTGAAATATATGGTTTTTTTTTTTCATAATGTATATTGTTTATGTTGGCATGGCTTTTAAAAAGTCAAAAAATAAAAAAAAAACTTTTGAGACTTAAAAGCAGTTTTTGGATCTCGTTTGACTTATTTTATGAAAGTGCTTTTGTTAGTTAGAAAAATTTTTAGAGAAAGTTGGTTCAACGTGGCCTCCTCCAAAAGCTGTGCTACATATAGTAAAAACGAAAGTAAAAATCATGTCAAACGAGGTATATTTCACAATTGTAAGTACTTAAAGCTTAACTTAAAAGTAATGTATAATAATATTCATCTCCACTGGGATTACAAATACAGTCTAAGTGGCGTTAATGTGTCATTAAATGATATGTGAAATTAAATAAATCATTTAATTTCACATTTAATTTAACCTATCATTAGTGTCATCTAGACTGTATTTATAACTCCACTGAAAATAAATAACATTAGTAAAGAAGCAAGCTTTGGATGAAAGCTTCTGCCACTTTCCTTGCATTTTCTTCGAAACATTTCCCTGCTACTTCTATTGGTAGTGGTTGACTTGATGAGAAGAAGTCTTTGTACTTATATCCCCACTGGGGATCAATAAATTTCTCAAAAGTAATACTAAAAAGAAGCAAGCTTTGGATGAAAGCTCCTACCACTTTCCTTGCATCTTCTTGGAAACATTTCCCTGCTACTTTAGGCCCAGTTTTATATATATTATTTTTTTCACTTTCATTCTTCTACTCATTTTCAACCACACATTCTTCAATAAAATAATATTTTCATCATATCAATAATTTTTCCTTTTTTTTCAACCACACATTCTCCATCTGTCCATCAATCTACTATTCCAGAATAAATTATTCTCACATTCTCCATCAATCTCTTATTCAATAACACATTCTTTCAAAACAACGTTTCCACTCTTAAATTGTTAGTGGTTGACTTCGATGAGAAGAAGTCCTCGCTGCAATTTCTCTATATTAATCTTCACACTCTCAATCATCTCAATCCAAAAATGCCTTCTTACTTTCATCTCTAAACCATATTCAACACTCATTTCTTTGGCTCTGAGAATCTCTTTCCATGTAAGTCGTTTAATGCCCCAGTTATTTTTTATTTTTATTTATCGAGAAATTAATTATAGAGTTAAAATTACTGTAATTGCAAATCATTTCCTACTGGGCTTGAACATCAAGTCATAAATATAATGTCTGATTTCAAGGTGCATATTTATTTTTTAAATTTATTGTGCTTTTTTGGATTTTTTTTTTAATTTCTGATGCATATCGTGTTCATATTTGATATTTGGTGAGATATTTAAGTTTTTCTTTTCTTTCCTTTTCCCTTTAATTCTCCCTATGTAAATTATTCGGAACTTTACTTCATTTTTAAACTTAATGTTGAATGATAGAAGAGCGAAAATATGATAAATTATTTACTATAATTTGTAAAAGTCAAATTATTTTATACAAAATTATATGCCAATAAATTTTAAGGAACCTAAGATGGGTATAAATACTTTTCTACTATGTTAATACACATGGACTAATGTGCAAATATATGAATCCTTTGTTCATACATAGGCAAAACAGGTTCTTTAATTTTCAACCCATATTGTAGATTGGTTTGAGCTACACAGTTTTACTAGGCTCGTGTACAATTCATGAGATTGTATTGAGAGTTTTGGCTTGTTTCTTCATAAATAGAGCGATATGTCTGCGTGTGATCCTTGTATCTACCATTGCAGCTATATTTTGGTATCTTGTTTTATAATTAATTATAATTTGTGAACAACGTGCTATTTCCCTTTCTTCGAACATTAGAAGGAACATATTTATATGTTTGTGTAGACTTTATTGTTTTTCTTTATTCGAGACTACAGCACACTAAAATTTCTATATATGGATCATGTTTGTTGGATATTGTTACAATTTTCCTTGCCGTTTGCCGATTCCTTATTGTTTAATGTCAAAACTTATCACTATCTTCCTCTTTCCTCTTTAAAAACATGGCATAACAAGAAAATTGCTACTAAAAACTAGTTGTATTTGCCTGACACTGTGTTTGAAACAAAGTTTGGCTTGATACGCATAGTTGTTTGATAAACTGATTCGTTTAACGTATACAAGTCTTAAATCTTTTTCTTGTTAATATCGTTCAAATGAAGAAAATGTTTTCTTTACTTACTATTGATTCATTCTTATGAAAAATTCAGAATTATTAATTTGAAATTTCTGCATTCAACTGAACTCTACCGTATTGATCCAGTAAACACAGGTAATGTCAAATTCTGTTCATTGACCTAGTTCTTCTCTTTTCTTTTGAAGTCAAATAATGGTTGTAATTATTCAGGTATTGGACTGTGGCTTGTGGCTCAATTTTTTGACTGATAGCTGAGAAATAAGCATAGTACGGGTTGTTCTTCTGGAAGAGATAAAAGGTGTGAAATGGCTGATGCAATTGTAGAATTTCTCTTGGTGAACTTGAAAGAGCTTCTACTTTACCATGTAGATTTGATTTCTGGAGTGAAGGATCAAGTTGAGTCTCTTCATAAGGAGCTTAGTTTGATGAAAGCATTTCTCAAGGACTCCAGGGAGAAGCGTAATGAATCAGAATTTGGTAGGG